GCTCGTGCATTTTCAAAGATGACAGATACGTCAGCATCATATGCAACAAGATGAACTATATCATCATCGTGAAGAAGATTAAGAACCGAAATCACAGCTTTTTTTGCAAACGTTAATTTATTGTCTAATTCCATGGATCCGCTGCGATCAAGAATGAGTACTAAATTCAGTGGTGTTAGTTTGGTTGTCTCTCCTTTACTTTTTGTTTCAATGTCGAAACGAGCTTTTTTTGTAAGCAAGACGCCAGAAATAGCATGTGGATTATCTGGAATACATCGAATTTCGATATCAGCTAACTCAGCATTGGTTGTCATATTGATTCGATATACTACGTGGAAGTAAATTAGATGGAACCTACTTTTAAATTTATTTAATAGTTGATCGTTTTTTCGATAGTTAAGTAGTAGCAAACAAACTGCCTTTATAAAAAAGAATGCATTGGCATTTTATACGAAAGCATATGAGATAGATAAAAAGATTATTCCGATTGATAAATATGCATTTTATAATTCATTCAATCAAATAGCCTCCATAAATATTGCTTCGATTTATAAACTTACTGATCTTGCTGATCGTGCTTGGGAAAATTTTAAAGATATATTAACTTATGAAACAGGTACGTCGAATTATTTTCATTCTGCAATATATTTAGCTATTGCTGAAGCTGGTCTCTCTGATATTATAAATTTGAAAAATTTTCACGAAAGAAAAAAGTGGTCTGATGGTTGGCAAAGATTTTTTGAATTGAGTTTTCACGAATTATCAGGAAGTTATCGTCAATGCATAGTATCTGGTGCATTATCGATGGGTTTTAAGTTTAGCACAGATCCACAAACCTATGATAATGCAATTATTTGTTTTGAAAAAGTAATTCAAATATCGAAAAAATTTTTTAAAATTTCTCGAGATTATTATAATAATATTATTCAATGTTATCAACAATTAGCTAGGATGTATCGATTAAAACATAAATATACATTAGCTATCAAATATGCATCAGAAATTTTAAATATATGTCGTATCGACGATTTGCAAGCAGTGAATGATTGTTATACAAATTTAGTTAAG